AAATGTCGGAAAAAATAGTGTAGAACTGTAGAAGGGTCACTATATACTATCGTCTCCGTGGACCACGAAATAACTTGGTAACAAATAATATCAACCTATACGTATGTTGTGTAACTCGGGTTCCAATAAAAGGGCTCCAAGCAATTTTCTGCAGGATATCGTACCTGATGTCCTGATATGATATTTGTAAACAATTTTCTTTCGTCATTCATGCCGTCGCTTGACTTTATTTTTTTTTCGAGTTTATCTTAAACAGTAAAGTTGTAGGTGTGTTCACATTACACGTATAATAAGTATCTGTAATCGCGTATTTGTATTCACGTGTATCCGCGAAGAATGTTCTCTGCAGCAGCCGTCGATCACGCCCCGATTCTCCATCGACAGCGTAAAAATGTTCAAAAATTCGTCTTCTCGACTCGCCAATATCGTAGTCAACCAGTGGCGTCATTTCAGTTTTTGAGAAGGAGGCAAAAGCTTTGACCGGCCAATCATATCACTAAAAAAAAAAAACACTCGCTAACAATTACATTTTTATCCCAACACAAATAGTCATTTTACACAATTGTATACATACTACCATTGATTATAGAATAGACTAGTTTATTCTATAAAAAATATAATCAATGATAGTACTAGTATGATAYTAGTTAGTAGTTACTATCACGGTTATCTGAGATAAGGCATAAATAACTCACTTTTTGAGGGATAACAATGACTAAATAATACATATACAATAATATGTACGATGTAGATTGCTGAGGGACATCCAATATTACATGATGTTATTATATGATGACTTATTTTGAGAAGAATTTTACCCCAATTGATGTTCTATTTACGCCAAATATGAGTACAAATGTATTTACAAAAAATAAAACAAAACATACAATACATTATTACTAAACTATTATTAATTTATGTATTTAGGTGTTACTTAGATAGTTAGAATGTTAGACCCTATATGCATTAACTGAGTACAGGGGCGGACACAGGTAAAAATTTCGGGGGGGGGATTGATAAAATAAGAATAATTACCATTATTTTGAAATAATTATTTATTGTATTTTTATAAGTCATAACAATTAATTATAAAATCAAATTTATCCGCCTCGGTGTTTTTGCCATAATATTCAATATAATATAACTTCATTCTTTTCGTAAACCAATTTGAAATTTTGACCATCTTCCACAGCATCTTAATGATATTTTTTTGTTTGATGTTTTCTGAACTTTTCAAGTGCTTTTTTCCAATCTCTAAACGCAGTTTCAACAAAAAAATTCGGACGTTCATGACCTCCTTTACCAATATATATTTTAAACCAAATGATACGCAATATCGGCAATATAATACGTATATGTTTACTTATTTTTACTTACTGATAATAAGCAACTTACAAACACACATTATTATTACGAAGTACTGTAGTCATGCAATTTCAAACTTTTGAACTTAAAGTAGTAAAGTACCAATAGTCAATACCTTTTACTTTTTAGAACCTTTGAAAAATTACAAATTATTAAAGATTTTCACTTTTCTTGCCAAAACATTTTTTTCTAGCATATTTTAACGTCTTTTGAATAATTAATTGTTTTTAGGTACCTACATAAGATAAAATAACTATTACGTTTTAAATTAATCAACCATTCATTTCGGGGCGGGGGTGAACCCCCTCCCCCCTGTGACCACCACTGACTGAGTATCTTCTAATCTTCATATAGCTCCAAACAATCCAAACATGTCAACAACTTTATTTAAATCTATCAGTAAAGCTCTAATGAAATAATTTGAAATGTTAATTTATAGTGGGCTTGTTAATTATGAGGGGGGAATACCCTGACATCCCCGCATATGACGCCAACTTTTGTCAACACATGTGCGTATACGCGTGTAAGTGTAATTTAAATGACTCAAAAAAGGTCGATTCGCAATTTCCTAAAATCATCGGCGTGCGCAGGGAGATGCCATCATGGTCTCTCTTGCAGAGTAGTTAACATAATCAAAGTTTTAGTTATAAAGTATGTTATGTATTTTTGATCAGAAGTAACTAAGATAATTCATAGGAAGGCCGTAATTAAACTTTTCAAACTAAAAAATCTAAAGCCAAAGACAAGTTGCGGGTTCATTTTTTCGAATTTTGATTCGTATTTTCACTATGAGACGAGTTATTTATTTCAAGAGTTTCTAGGGAATTATTTTTTTGTATTGAGCTTATAGTATATATTAAAATACCGTCATAACCCCCTGCGAAAAAGTCTGTGCACGCCTATGATTACAATATGTCAATATCCAATCGCGGATGTTGGTGTTGGAGGTGTCGTGTCGATAATATTTGATGGGGCCCGCTTTTGAAATGTTGAATTTGAATGTCCGATCATTCCCCAACACTCACTCGTACTAAATTTCCAGACCCCTCAGTACAACGTACACATTCTCTAGGACACGAAGATTGGTGGTTAACGTGATGATAACTCGGGTACTATAGTTTCAGTACAATTGTCTCGTCTAATATTATACAATAACGCGAATCGCGATGGAGTTTTGTTTATCGGTTACTAGTTACCTCTTCGATTTCATTGGTGCTGTGATGGGTTACATTACTTACAAATGGTGCTTGACCTTTCAATGGCCGTCCAACTATCGTATTATTCATGTACCTACCTATATCACTTACATGTAATATGTATTTTAGTATTTTATTTATTTTTATTTATTATTTAGATATATTATGCCTTATACAAAGATCGTGTGGAACACGAAAAGTAATTAGTTAATATTAGTATATTTTGATAAGTAAGTTGAAATTAGTAACTAAATTATATAAATTATAAACACTCATCTAGCTTTGCGTGGAAATTKTCGCTTAAGCCGGTTCATAACGAGGCACAAATCCCATATTTTGGGTTGAAAAATTTTCAAAATTTGAACGAGTTGCCCCTTATTTAGACTCAGACCACCTTCAATGGTATCTGTTAAACATATATGTTTTACTTACACATATTTAATTGCAAGATGTTGCCGTTAATCACAAATCACAGGAAAAATCATATACGATTTCAAACTATAGTTTAAATAAAAAAATCATTCAACTKGGCCGCGTAATTTATACAGCTGCATCACTGGACTTCCGATTGAATAACGTACGTCCTATCGTCCTATGTCGATACACAAATGAAAATCGTCCGATCGGATTTTAGCCTATATCTCATGTTGGCAGCGTCGCAACTACACCATTTTGGGCCCATCATGTGTAAATAAATGAATGGGCTCTCACCCCTYTTGAAAATTGAAAAATTAACCTATTGACTATTATAAAATTAATTTTTCCAAATTTGAAAACATACTTTGGAATTTTGAGTTATTACTCAATACTCAATACTCCGCATGACGCGCTTTAATCAACCAAACTACCAAACTATTTTAGATTCTGAACGAAGTGATGAATGTATTGATTTAACAATGATGTGTGTTTTTTTTTTT